GCGGGCCTGACCTAAGGTGAGTTTTAAATAGGGACAATTTTTAAACAATTTTAAAGAGCCACAGCTACCAATATTTGGATTTTAATTGGTTTTTAGCAGGGGAAAAATTTTTTTGTACAATGTTTTAATATGCTGTGAGCCGCCCTGAGTCCCATGGGGAGAAGGGCGGCATATAAATTTAAATATAAATAAATAAATATAAAAAATCAAACTGAAAGTTTAAAAAAATCCTCCTGACAAAATTGGATTAACGAAGGCTGCTTGTTTCATCTTCATATCATACGCTCCTTGCCCACCAATAACATCATGTAGCTGATTGCTAATTCCAAAATGATTTTGGTGGAACACAAGTGGCACTTCTTTCCTTCCTAAGTCTCTTTAATATAATAATTGCATTTTAAAATACTGCTAAGTCACTGTTAGTGGTATTATTGCATTACAAGGATGATAGTAACTATTTTTAAATCAGGAATGGGACTGTTGGTCACAGATTTGTTCACTTTTCATCTTTTAAAAAATATAAAGAGTTGTACGAGTATATAGGGCAGTGATGGCAAACCTTTTAGAGACGAAGTGCCCAAACTGCAACCCAAAACCCACTTATGCATCGTCAGGTGCCGGGTGGATGTGGCCCATTGGCTGGGTGTGGCCCATTGGCTGGGTGTGGGTGCAATGGTAATGGCAGACTGGGTGGGACTAAAAAGTTCAATCAATCAATTCCAACTTTGCAAGATCTTTTTTTCCCGTGAGATGTTGAAATTGACTGATTGATTGAACCTTTTTTTTTTTTGCACACGGCGGAGGCCTAAAGCGAAAAGGTTTTATAAAACCCAGCTGAAGGCCTAGGAGTGGGGCGATGGCGCGCGTGCCCACAGAGAGGACTCTGAGTGCCGCCTCTGGCACCCGTGCCATAGGTTCGCCACCACTGATATAGGGCTACCGGCATGCAAGACGTAAGGGCAAGTTGGATATAACATAAAAAATGATAGAAATTATGATGGAATCATTCTATTATTTCATAATGTTGAAAACATAAAAAATGTGTAGTAAAATGTTACAGACTTCAAGAGAAATAGCTAGAGGGGTTCCAATCTCTGTGATATCTATCAGGACTAGCACAGCAGGATCAATATTTTCCTAGTTCTAACTCTGATTATGAAATGTTTGTTATTTTAACAATTTACATGTGTTTTTCCCTGCCTAAATAATCTTCTATTTATTGCACTATGTTATCACGTTTTAAATATAATCTCATAGAAAAAAATCCTGATTAAAAAATAAACTTCATCAGTTTCTACTCTTGAGTTAGGTTCTTGGTTCCTCCAACATTATTTCAGCGTGGATTCACTTTTTCTCAAACCAGCAACCAAATAGGTTGCTGTGGTTTACAGCAATCCAAACTTTATGGTTTGAGGAGGGAACTGTACTAATGTATACCTATCAAGCAGCAGCTAAAGGCACAAAGCCTCTGCCTTGTGTTCAAGATCTCCTTGCCGTCTTCAGTTTTCTCTGTTTCTCCCATTCTTCATAAGATGAACCTCTTTGCGGTACGATTACAAACCCATCTCTGCAGTTTTTATTCTTTTGCTATACTAAAAAAAAGAATCACTTACCTAAATCATCCATGGCTTGTTTCTACTGGGTCTTCTTGCCTGAATCTCTAGTAGAGAAGCAGGCTTGTTGAGTAATAGAAGGGGAAATGAGCAAGATGGTGAAGGCGTAGGGCAGTACTTTTTCAGTTCCTCACTCTAACTGCACTTCCTCTGTTTAGAGGTTAATGTTTCTTTCCTCTACTGTGGGTTACAACTTAAGCAGATTTTTCAAAAATTGTACTCAAATGGTACAAGAGAAAGAGATGTGTATCTGATATGATCATTGGGTAATCTTCCCTATAGATAGGAATTATTTCTCTTCACAGACACTAAAACACAGATAAAATACAAACTATACAACTTTAAAAAAAACATTTATATCAGAAATGAAGCATATGTAGGCTATGTCCAGCAATAGCTTTAGAAATTTGCTGTTTTTGGGAAGCTTCATAGTACTGATCATTTAGCAGGAAATGTACAATTGCCTGTTGGAACAAGTCCAAATAATTCATGATTAATTTGTTCCTTCACAAATGATAAATAGCCCATTTTAGGAGTATATACACAACTGTCTTAATTTCAGGGTCTGAAAATATGCAAAGGGACCCTTAATAGCAAGCTGCATTAAATTATCTCATCAACATCACTGAGGGCATCCAAGCACACTAATGTAAGCATTGTTCTGTTACGGCACGAGGATACACTAAAAATATTTGAGGATCTTAAAAACAGATGTGTGAGCTCATTATAATACTGATGTGAAATGTTAACTCTATCCCTTTCTATATCAAGATTTATTTATTTTTTGCTTGACCTCAGTCTACGCTTTACCTAAACCCAGCATAGAAAACTGGGGGATAAGTCCACAGTAAACCATATCAGTAAACTAGGTCAGATATAATTTGATTCCTCCAGAGGAAACTATGATTGGTCTATCAATACATGCTGGACTAAAGACTCACCGCCATATATTGATTTAAGCCAGTATTTCAACTGGAAGAACCTCAAACAGGCCTCAACAGAGACATAGCCAAGTTCTAATGGGAAATGCATATTTGCAACTGAGCAAGGGGCTTGGAGCAGACCTCAGGAATTTAGATTAGGTTCCTTCTAGTGCAGCAATATTTTTATCCTATATACACCCTATTTTTCACATATAGCAAAGGACTTAGTATTTTAGCATTTAATAGTTTAATTGCTATAGGCATAGGGGTATCCCCTGTATGGCTCTATATCTGGTTAGTGCACTGGAAGTTTTTTGTGCCTGTAGCATAAGGCTTCTAGATGGAAATTTCCAGGAGGCAGAAGGCTGAAAATAAATGCCTAGATATTTGAAAGGTTTCATGGTTGCTCTCGTAAAATACTCCTGATTGGCATGCCAAATTGGCAGATCATTCTTTAATTCTATCTTTGGAGCAATTTACAGTCCCTAACTCAGTGATGGCGAACCTTTTAGAGACCGAGTGCCCCAAAACCACCACCACCCACCCGTCCCCGCTCCGCCGTGCCCGCTGGACCACCCACCACCTCCATGGCCCGCCACAGATCAGCCAGACAGCCCAGCAGCACAATGGTGGCCACGCCCTCCACCCGTACCCTGCAGCATTATCTGAGCGCGATGGGGTGCAAGGGCGGAGTCTTGCCCCTGCTGCCCGGCTACCATGTCCTTGGCTGTGCAGCATTGCGTGGGCCGTGCCCGGGGGCGACTCTCCTCCTGAGGGCTGCTGGTGAGGAGGGGGCCGTGGGAGGAGGTGGGGCTGGGGCGACGGTGTGTGTGCCCACAGAGTGGGCTCCGAGTGCCACCTCTGGCACGCGTACCATAAGTTCGCCACCACTGCCCTAACTCATGAAGTTAAACAAAGGTTAATTTCCTCTAAATTTTATGTGACTCACTCCATTCTTATATTTTGTTTTGATCCACTTGCACTGCCGATCAAGCTAAACATTGCTGCTAAACACTGCTGTTTTAAATCTGTTATTAATATATATCCCCGACCCACACACACATACTGTACATGTTTCACATACAATGACATCTGGAACTATTTTGGAGATTGGGTGCTTGAACTGACTACTTGGTTTCCAAACTTAGAAATGGTCCAAACATTTGGATGGCTTAGATGAGCTCCTTATATACAAATAACTAAAAGCTTTTCTCTCTCTCACTGTCCTGTGGATAAGGGACATATGGGAATGGAGATTAACTCAAAAGGTCATTAAATTTAGGCTCCTAATATTAAATAACTCAACTACAGGAGACTTAGAGGGAGAGGTCACTTTCTGGAATGGGAGAGGCATTCATATTCTTAAAAATAAGCTAATAGCCTAGAAACTGACTATTTGCTGCACAAACTTAATGGTTCCCTATTTTCCCAATACCAAAAGCCTATTAAGTTTTTTTTACTAGTTAGAACATAGAATAATAGAATTGGAAGGAACTTCAGAGATCTTCTAGTCCAACCCCCTGCTCGAGCAGGAGACCCTATATCACTTCAGACAAATGGTTGTCCAGTCTCTTTTTGAAATTCTTCAGTGATTGAGTACCCACAACTTCTGAAGGAAGTTATTCCATTGGTTAATTGCTCTCGCTGTTAGGAAATTTCTCCTTAGTTCAAGGTTGTGTGGGAAGTCAGCCCCCCAGAGAAGGAAATATTAAAAGGGCAGAAAAATATATTTCCTCAAAGGATCTTAAAGAGGCAGAAAAGCATGCCCAGTTTTCTTAATAGCCCCAAGTCTCCCTCCCCCAAGCAGAATCCAGCTCTGTACAAATGAAGATGTAAATAATCCAGGAAGGTTGGAAGCCCCCAGCTAGAAGATTAAGAAGACAAAGACACCTAAAATCTACATACCCCACCCAAAGTCTAAGACAGGACATAATAGTATTAACTCACAGATGCTAAAGGGCACACCCAGACTCAGGTCAGAATACATGACCACAGGAAATACAAAGCCTCAAACAGGAACAGGAAACAACTCCAAACAAAAGGCTCCAGAGGGTATAAAACCCCACTCCCTATATGTGCTCGCTCTCTTTTTTCCAGAGCCATCTTCCTGTCTGGCTCTCCTCTTCAATAAATGCAACCTTCTTTCTAAAGCAGTCACCATGTTTATTCCCAGCTTGGACTGAACCACAATGAAGACTTTTCTTTCAACAGTTGTTTCTTTCCTTGGTTTCTAACCATTGTTTCTTGTGTTGCCTTTTGGTGCTTTGGAAAATAGTTTGATCCCCTCATCTTTGCAGGAGCCCCTCAAATATTGGAACACTGATATCATGAACCTCTAGCCCTTCTTTTCATTAGACAAGACAAACTCAATTCCTGTAACCATTCTTTGTACATTTTAGCCTCCAGCCCCCTAATCATTTTTGTTGTTCTTCTCTGCACTCTTTCCAAAGTCTCAACATCTTTTTTGTATTGTGGTGATGAGAAATGGATGCAGTATTCCAAGTGTGGTCTTACTAAGGCTTTCTAAAGCAATATTAGAACTTCATGTGATATTGAGTCTATCTCTCTATTAATGCAGCCCAGGATTGCATTGACTTTTTGGCTGCTGCCACACACTATTGGCTCATATTTAAATGATTGTCAAAACTTCCTTGTAACAAGTGCAGGAAAATTGTTAGTGTGTGCTAGTACTTTTTAAATGACACAAGGGAGATCTAGACTACTCTAGATATTTCCCAGAATATTCTCACCTCAATATAGAAATATCTAAAGCCTGCTGCAGTGTCTGTTCAGAATGTCCATAATGAACACAAGAATGGTGAAAATTGGCAGCATCTTGCATTGATCATCATTTTTTTCAACTAGCAACAATATTTCATAAAAATACAATAAAAGTTAGACGTATTAATGGCAAAAATTGATTGAGGCTATCCCAATGTCCGAAGGAGTCCAATGTCCAAAGGAGCCAAAAGATATATCCTGGATCCCTACAATATGATATCTATATTAATGATTCACTCTTTGTCTCTAGCTTATAATCTAATCTCCTAATATATGTTGATGATAGTGCTGCCCTTTCTGCAACCCAAGTGGATAACTATTCTAGAGGAATTAATAAATTGAATATGTATATAAAGAAAGTTGTTCAGAAGGATGCTATAAAAAAGAAAAATGTTGAAAAGATTAATTAGACAAAAATTGAAGAAATACACCACACACTGAGCAATCTTTGGGATAATATAGCTTATTTAAAACTGTAAAGAGAGAAAAGACGATTAAGGAAGTCAGGAACAACCTATGATGAGGAACAAATTATATTGCTTTATAGTTTTTTAAAGAAAAAATAGAAATAATGCAAAATAAATAATACATTCTAGTGGAAAAATGTATTAGCAATGATTTAATGTATAAAAGATGGGGATTAAAAATTTAAAATATGTTAATAAAAGAATTATTAAAGAACTAGAAATGCTTAATCAAAATTCTTAGAAACTAGTACTTTTGCATTCCTTCCTTCTCTGAAGTCTATCTATCCTTGGCCATATTAAAATTTGGTTTCATCTAGTGCACGGATGTCAAATTCGCCACGTCACGTGACGTGTCGCGACATATCGCGACTCATTTTGCATTGCCAGCAATGGGATGGGAGCGGCTTCAGTATGATGAAACTGGCCTGCGGGCTGGCAGTTTGACACTCCTGATCTAGTGATTTACTACTAAATTCGAAAAAGACAAAAGCCTTGTTAATGCAACATTTTATAATTTTCATTCAGTGAACTTGTTACCAGCCTTCAGTAATATAAAACAATCTGTATTATTTAAATGGGCCACTGGGTGTCAGAACTGCACTATAAGAATAATAAATGCACAATTTTTGCATATATCCTGCCTGACTTATGCATCCATCTATACCTAGTTTACATATCTGAAATTTATATTTATATTTTGAACAATCAATGGCTGGCACTTCTACACCACCATAATTTCTACTCCCCAATCCTTTCTAAGCAGTTCAAACACTAATTTTTAACACAATTTTGGATTGTTGCAAACAGCATGAATTCTTTCTTCCAACTGTCCAATACGAGAAGGCAAAACCAGCATTCAGTAAGTATCCATATTTTAGCTCATATTGTGCATATTTGTCCATCAATGAACCATTACTATGAGGGAGGAGTTGAAAAACCACAAAATTCTATTTGTTTCAAATGGCAGCAAAATTTCTGTGGAGATAGAAGAGAGGCTGGGATGGGACAAGTTGAAACACGTGTTAACAAATGGGAGAATGACCGACTGGTAAGATAGTTTTATTTATTTTATTTATTTATTATTTATATTTTTACCCCGCCCTTCTCCCTGCGGACTCAGGGCGGCTTACAGCCTTTTAAAACAAATACAGAAATACAGAAAATACTAAAGTTAAAATGTTGATTAAAATGAAATATTATTAGGCCTTTGTTATTTTTAAAAATTATTATAAAACCAAGCTAAAAACCCTTAGGCCAGTTAAGCTTTAACACTGCAAATAGCATCATCATCTTTCCTGCAATTGTAAATACTCTGCAGCCGAGTCAGAAATAAATCAGCTCAGCTGGTGAAATAAAGCAAAGGCTTGAGATCACACAGGTGCAGAGTTACTTCTAGAGTGGTGAAAATGAAGACTTTTTAAAAAGTGTATCTGTTATTAAACAGTAAAGGAATTTGCTCCTGCTTTCCATTCATGTTGTCTGTATGTAGCTATTGTAAAGAATTTTCTTTGCCTTTAAAAGCAGATTGTATTGAACCAACATAGATGCTTGGTTCATTACGCATTTTCAAAGCAATATAGTGAGAAACAGCGTCAAACGCTTTATTTTAACCCTATGTTCCGTAATACTTGCTTCTCATATCTTAGATTCCCCCAAATGCATGTGTGAACCTATCAGTCTCCTCAAAGAAATCAACAGAAACGGCACTTTGAAGTTTCCAGGGGCTTATGTTCTTTTTTTTTTTTTTTTTTTTTAAACTATAACTCCCATAATGCTTTCTTGGACATGCGCTGACACGCGCAAGACGAGAACGGAAATGCGTGCGTACTCCATAAAGTCCCGCCTCTCCCTATCGGACGCCATTTTGTAGCCGACTTTCACCCGCCACACGACGGTGCTTTTTTTCTTAAAGGAGAAGCGACAATGTTTTTTTTTTTTTTTAAATCCCCTGCAAGTATGAAACACCGAAAACTGCGGTCGATGTGAAAACGAGGAAACAAGTTTCTGGAAGGTACCTCCTCTCTATCCGTTTCACTTTTGAAAATAGAAGCTCGGGGATAGCAGACCGGCCGGACTGCGGGGCGTGTTGGGAGGGGGAGGAGGAGGAGAAAGTGGGGGGGGGGGGCGACGGCAATAGGACGAGCGGTACTTCTAGTTTTATTGCGCTCACTGCAGGACAATAACTGTTCCGGAGTTCAAGATAAAGCGCGTGGGACATTCACAGACGCCTTTTCTGCAGGGCAACGGAGGGCATTTAATTTGGCGCGCGGGAGATAACTGCTAAAACGGCTCAGTTATGCGAAGCGCGCGCGCGCGCCACGGCCAGAATTCCGACAGCACACCCGCGCGCGCGCGCGCGTCCCCGGTGAACCTCGCCCGCTGATTGGCCTGTAGAGAACCAGCCCGGCTTGCTGCTGTTATTGGCTCCCTTTGGGAGAGAAGTGGGTGAGGTGTGTCTTCGCATGTGGCTCCCGATTGGATGATACGGAGAGAACTCGTAGCCTGTTTGAACTCCGAACTCGCTCTCGGTTGGACAAAGTCACGCGAGGGGCGGGAGCGTCGTGGAAGAGGCGGAGCGAACGGCGGGTGCTGCTGTCAGAACCGGGGGGGGAGCCGCTGTTGGGGCTTCCTCCGCTAGCTGCTCTAATGCCGGGGGCGCCCGAGCAGGCGGAGACCCAGGAGGAAGAACAAGAGAGAGGAGAGGGACGGACTCCGCCTCCTAGCGGCCGCCGGCGTCCCCTGCCCCCCCCTCCCGTAGCCTCCGCCGAGCAGGGGGCGGAGTCTAGCGGCAGTCGGGTGCTCCGTGGAGGTCGGGAGCGCGGACGAGCCGCAGCCGCGGCAGCGGCCGCCTCCCGCCGAAGAAAGGCCGAATATCCACGTCGGCGCCGCAACAGTCCCGGCGCTCGGCAGACCCAAGAGCCGGAGGAGTCGCCGCCTGCCCCCGGGGTTGAAGCTGGAGCGCCTCCGTCAGCCACTGGGACTGCCGGTAGGAAGGGCACGCCACGCAGCTCGTAAGTATAGAAGCCGTTCGGTGCTTTTAGGGGAGGTACGGTAGAAAGTTTTTGGCTTTAGTGGCACGGTCGCAGTCTCTGAACTCTCCACTGCAGAAACGTGCCGGTTAATATCAAAGTAGGATTTAATATGAACTTTTGTCCGGTTATACACTAGAGCGGCAGTTGCCTTCCACGTTTGTTGCAAGTTGGCTTGTTTAGAAGGGTATTGATTGGCGGATACCTTTAGGGTTGCCAGGTGTCCCCTATTTGAGTGGACAGTCCACTTTTTTCACATTATGTTCACTATTTTGTGGGGAAAAAAATAGTGAACATAATGTGAAAAAAGTGCACTGTCCACTCAAATAGGGGACACCTGGCACAACCCTAAAGGTATCCGCCAATCAATAAGTAAAAAAAGTAGACTGTACAGCTTTAGATTACGTACCATTTCATCATAAAGCTTTTAAATAAAAAAAAATGTCCACTATTTTTTTTCCACAAAATAGTGGACATTTTTTTTTATTCGAAAGCTTTATGATGAAATGGTACGTAATCTAAAGCTGTACAGTCTACTTTTTTTTTTTACTACTTAACCCCACCCCCCCACCCCGCTTGTCCGCTATTTTTTGGAAGCAGACCTGGCAACCCTAGATACCTTTAACTCAATTCTTGCACCCTAACTAAAGTTGTACTAGAATTCTTGTTCCGTGTTACTTTTATTTTCATAGACGTGTATTTTTCATTCCATGTAACATCAGTATTTTGCCTTTTATCCACTAGAGTAAGTTATAGAAAAGTGTCGGTGCCTGTTTGTCTATAGCAGTGATGGCGAACCTTTTAGAGACCGAGTGCCCAAACTGCAACCCAAAACCCACTTATGTATAGTCGGGTGTCAGGTGGGCGTGGCCCATTGGGTGGGTGTAGCTGCGGTGCTAACGGCAGGCTGGGTGGGACTAAAAAGTTCAATCAATCAATTCCAACTTTGCAACATTTCTTTTTCCCCGTGAAAAGTTGACATTGATTGAACCTTTTTTTTTTGTTTTTTTGCACACGACGGCAGAGGCCTAAAGCGAAAAGGTTTTATAAAACCCAGCTAAAGGCCTAGGACTGGGGCGACGGCGCGCGTGCCCACAGAGAGGGCTCTGAGTGCCACCTGTGGCACCCGTGCCATAGGTTCGCCACCACGGATCTATAGCTTTAACCAATTTTCAGTATAGCTGTATGCATCTTTATTTGAAATGAGTTCCATGTATCTAGTAAACCTCAGAGTGAATAGTCCTAAATTTAGATTTTAGATTAGAAATAATCTAAGCTTTAGGTTAGATTATTATTTTTTATTAATTTATTAATAAATTTATAATATAAATTATTTCCTTTATATAAATTATAAAGGAAATAGGAAAGATAGAGGAGGGAAAAGTGTAGGAAAAAGAAAAGGTATTGACTTCCAACTCCCTTTGGTGCAGTAGAATAATAACATCAAATCTCAACTTTTTACTTTTGCATAATAGTATAAACTAGCCATTTCTATAACAACAAACCTATCTAATAGGTAAAACCCAAAATCAAAGTTTCATTTTTTTTCCACCTCAAGCACAAAGTCCAGAAGCTGTTTCCAAGTAGAAACAAAAGTAATTGTGTTTTTTCTTTAATCAAAACAGTCAGTTTAACCATCTTGGGTTAAACATCAACTTTTGCAGCCATTCATCCATTGTGGGTGGGGAGAATATTAGAAAAAACAGATTTACATATCTATTACCATATTTTAATTTTCTTGTATTATGATAGAGGTAAGCATCTTTGATTTCTGTAGGCCTGGCTTCTATGTGTGTAAGGTATATGACTAGAAAAATACACATTTGGGAACTTTTATAAGCATCTACATCTTAATATTGGGCATTGTGCTAATTCACATTGTATGTTTAATTTCTATTTCAGGTGCTTGAATAAAGCAACAGTGAAAGGTAAGATTTAAATTATCTAGCAGAAGGATGGATGGTGATTGTTAAGATATATCATCAAGGGTCAGGAGCACTGAACATATGATAATTGGATGTGAGCGCTTTTATATTGAGGTGTAGAGAAAAGCTTGTGATCCTGCTAATGTACTAATTTGCTATGCTTCTGACTGAATCCGTCTCTGAGCTTGAGATGATCTGGAGAAGGAGATTTCCATCATCCGTTCCCATGATCAAATAATTCCTTCATCTCATTACAATTCAGTACTTCTCCTGGCCTTTCTGGACAGTGGAATCCATTTGAATGGTCTGTCTCGGACAACTACTTGGTTTCTAGCAGATGCTGGGGAGTTTCCTGAGACTCTGGAAAGCAGATCTATCCACTGCTTGATACATAACTGGCAATAGGACATGTTGCTCTGAGCTTGATTGCCACCATCTCTGGCAATCAATTTCAACTGGCGGCTAAGTTTTCTGCAGCTCTTTGGGAAGTAAAATGACATCTGGAGCAAATGCCAGTGGAGGAAAACAAGACGCTAATCTGACTGAGTCTGGGTATGTGCCCATGTTCAAGCCTACACTGTTTCAGGAAGGAAGGCAAAACATGCTTATTTCTCTCCCTTATTTCATTAATGGTCTGCCATTCAGAAGCCTTATTTAAAGTAATTCCTTTCTGGGAAGAGACAAGATGAATCTCTCACATCTGGCTGCTGTGATTAATTTGCGTAGCACTTTGCTGATAAATTGAATCGGAATCTTTAATAGTGACTATAGCACCATGTTATGAAGTTTGGGGCTCTTTTTGGTCTGTGACATCCAAGGAAGTCTAGCTTTTCATTTAGAACTCCTTCTTGCCCCTTGCCCATCCTGGCTGTTGCGAGGCAGCCTGAATCCATAAAATTGTCAATGCTGTTTCTGAGGAGGACAATTTCTGTCAGTGTTAAAGAAGGATGTGGCATTCCCCCCCCCCTTAAGAAACTGTCCTTGGAACTATGGGTTAAGAAAACAACCATTCTGTCTCCAACCTTCCCCTTTGAGAGAGGATTGAAATAATCCACTGAATCTGAATCCTCTGATAATTTGAAGTAGATTATCTGGACCCCTTTCGGTCTAATTTTAGGCCTGGACATGGGAAAAAAACACATCCTTGATGTTGGAATTTAGATGAGATTAGTGCATCCTTCTTCATCCTTTTGGATCTCCAGGTGACTTTTGATATTGTCAAAGAGTTTAGTGTTTAGTGTTTTCAGTGGAGTACCTATGGAATTTTGTGATTGGACACAGTTTTGTAGTGGTTCTACTTCATTTGTTATAGGTAATTTTAATTGGAGAGGCGGTGAGAGGTTGGCTTGGCGTCTCTGATTTATGGTGTACAACAGATATTGGTCCTCTCTCCCATACTTTCTAATATCTACACAAAGTCTACTGGGATAGGTCATGGTTCAGGGTATGCTGATGACATCAGCACCATGACTATAAGGCAGTGGTTCTCAAACAGTTTGGTCTCAGGACACCTTTACATTTTTAAAGATAGAGGACCCCCAAAATTTTGGTTAAGTAGTTTATTAACTTTATTAGAAATTAAAATGGATACATTTTAAAATATTTACTTACTAGACTTTGTGGACCTCCCAGGGCACCCCAAACCCCATTTAAGAACCACTGCTACAGAGGAAATGCCATTGACACCTTGTCCAGTGGTAGGAGGCAGTAAAAGTCTGGCTAGGAAAAAACAGATTAAAGCTGAATCCTAGTAGAACAGAATTACTGTTTTTGCATTCTCTGCTCTGGATTCTCTGTTGATGCTAATGTTGTCTCTAGATGGACAGACACTAGCCTTGAAAGAGTAATTTTCTATTTGGTGTTCCTTCTGAATTTATGTCTTCTCAAACAGCAGATATAGACTGTGACTAGAGAAAACTACCTAGCTTTGTATGGTGCACCAGTTGCACTCTCACCTAGTGCTAAAGGACACAGTTACAATGACTTCCTGATGACATTGCAATTGCTTTAATATAGTTGCTCTTTGAAACCTAAAACTGGACCAGAATGTGATAGACCAGAGGTCCCCAACCTTTTTGGCACCAGGGACCGGTTTCATGGAAGACTATTTTTCCATGGACCGGGGAAGGGAGGGGAGGTTTCAGGATGATTCATTATATTCTAAATTTTCTAAACAAACAAATAATGCACTATATTTCTATTATTATTATTATTATTATTATTATTATTATTATTATTATTATTATTATTATTATTATTATTATTATTACATTGTATTAGATTAGACCAGTGACTTTCTGCTTCTAAGAAAGTGGGAAGGCAAAGAGGCAATCCTAAACTCAGCCTTGCAGCAAAACAAACCAAAGACCCAGCATGTTGAGGAAGTGCTGAGAAAACCATTCAAAAAGAGAGGGAGGGAAAGAGGGAGGTCTCTGTGCAAGCCCAGCAGCCTTGGAAAAGATGCAGATGAGAGAGAGAGAGAGAGAGAGAGAGAGATATTCCCTTGGGGAGACACAGTGCTTAAGGAGAAATGTAGCTTCTCCCCTCCCCCTCCCCCATTGCAAGCTGGGTAGGAGCGCGCTTGGCTTGCAAACTTGAGAGCTGCAAGAAGAAAGTGTGAACACACGCACGTGCGCACACACACCAAATTAAACCATGAAAAGCAGACAGGAAATTGCCAAAACACGAGGCACCTGGAGCACCATCAAAACAAAGCAAAAAAAAACTCAGCGGTCTTAGAAAAGGTGCAAACGAGAGAGATTCCCTTGAAGACACAGTGCTTAAAGTGAAAGGTAGCTTCTCCTTGCCTCTATTTGCATCCTGAGAAAAGACCCTCACAAATACATACCTTCCCCCTCCAATGAGGTTTTGGGGAAGCCCATGGGTGCAAGCTGGGCTGGCGCACGCTTGCCTTGCAAACTTGGTGAAGGGAGCACGAGAAAGAAGAGGAGGAAGAAAAAGGAGGGAGAGGAAGCAGGAAGAGGAGGAGGAGGAGGCAGAAGAAGAGAGAGCACAAGAAGCAAGAGGAGGAAGGACGCTGAGCTCAGAAGTTTCAAGCCAGTTGCAAGCGCAGCCGCTGGAGAACCTTTGCACTGAGCAAGCCGGCTTCTGCCCTGCCGCTCTCCCACCCCTGCCCAGATCCATGCAGACTCACTACATGCCTCCAGCTGCGAGGCCTGGTTCCTAACTGGCCACGGACCAGGGGTTGGGGACCCCTGTGATAGACTGTGTCCTTACCAAAACTGAGAGAATATAACACCAATTTTGCAAGTCCCTCACTGGTAACCAGTGTTAATTGTACCGGTGAGGTATAATTTAAGATGCTGATATTGACCTATAGACAGCCAGCTTGGTGTTGTGATTAAGGCAGGAGGCCAGAAATCAGGAGGTTGTAAGTTCTAATCGTGCTTTAGGCAGCGGGTGACCTTGGACTAGTCAGTATCCAGGTAGTTCCCATAGATTTAAAAAGAACTGATTTGAGCCCCCCCCCCCCAAAAAAAAAGATCTACAAAGCTCTTCTTAGCTTGGCACTTGGGTATCTACAGGACTGATTTTCCAACTCCAGTGGCCCAACTCATTGTCTTAACAGCAGCCTAATCTATGGTTGCCATAAAATTATATTGACAATACAGGCAGTCCTCACTTTCCAGCTACTCATTTAGCAACTATTTGAAGTTATTTGGTGGTGCTGAAAAAAGGAGTTTATGACCAGTACTCAAGCTTGTGACCTCTGTATCATCTCCATGGTCATGTGATCGCAATTTGGGTATTAGCATTTATGATGGTTGCAGCATCTATCAGGTGCCCTTACCTTTACACCTTTACAGCCAGCTTCTAAAAAGGCAAGTCAATGGGGAAGCTGGCAAGAAGTTGCAAGTTGCAGTCACATGATATCCTGCTTAATGACTGTAGTGCTTTGCTTAACGATCACAGCTGGAACATAAGTTGGAAGTCGTCAGGTGATATTTCACTTTACGACAGAGTTGCTAGTCCCAATGGTAGTAAGTGAAGACTATCTGTAATGAGTTTTTCTTGTAGTTGAATGAATACTTGTTCATATTTATTTATTTATTTATTATTTAAATTTATATACCACCCTATCTCCCTTACGGGACTCAGGGCGGTGAACAGGCAATAATAAAAATCACAGTAAATATTACATAAAAGCCTGCTCTAAAATATAAAACCCCTAACAAAACCCAATCAAAACTACCCCAGGCCAGCCGCATGGAACAGATGAGTTTTCAGGGCTCGGCGGAAGAGGCGCAGGTCCGTAATTGTACGTAGGTCGGGGGGCAGGTCATTCCAGAGGGCAGGAGCTGCCACAGAGAAGGCTCTCCCCCTGGGGGTCGCCAGCCGGCATTTGCTGGCCGACGGTACTGTGTTTATACTGTGTTTCCCCGAAAATAAGCCCGGGTCTTATATTTATTTGGGCCAAAAGATCCATTATGGCTTATTGGAGGGTGTCTTATATTTTTCACCACAAGGCCCAGCCGGGCCAGCGCCCCACCCCACCAGGCAACTCAGATTTCCCTCAGTGTGGGAGGAAGGCTTGGGAAACTGCCTTTTCATTTACATTCATCAATAGTGTAATCCGTCCCTTTATTTTTCAAAAAATGATTTGTATTTACCACGATTAGCCTCCTTGATGGCCAATAGGAAAGCGCAGTGTGAATTCTGCGCATGAGCTGTGGAAATACAGACACTTGCACCCTCAAAGCTCATGACACTTCCTTGCTCAGGGAGCACCACTGCTTTACATGAGTGTTCAATTTTGTGGCTCAGCTAAACTCTTCAGCTGCGGCTGGCCGCAGTTCCCATCAGCTTCAGGAAGCCTGGGCGATGGAAACCTTAGGCCAGGCTCCTCGCAGCTGAAGCAGTCCGGTTTGCCCCGGGTCAGGTTGGTTGTTGCCGGAGGCGTGGCCCATCCCTGTCCTCCAGCTCCGCTGCACATGCTGGATGAGCCTCCCACAACGGCCAACCTGACCCTGGGCGAGCTTACAGAGAGAGGCTGCGCGTTGCAGGAGGACGACTACAGAGGGTGGATCCCTGGAGGCGCCGAGCGCTGTTTGGGTTAGTTCCATTTTTATGAGCTTTTTAAGGTTTTCTCCCAATTATATTTTAAAACTTAACATAATTGCTATTTTTTTTTCCACAGAGTAATGTGAAACATAATGTTACAGGTAGTCCTCGAGTTATAAATGTAATGGAGCCTGCCCATTACACTCGTAACTCAAAAACTCGTAGAGTGGACCTCGTACCTTGAAGGAGATCACTCCCTTGCTCGTTAAAACGCACGCAGCTCATTAAGCAAACATGAGGTATCTCAGGATGGGGAAGGCCATGGAGGGCCTATTGATGGAACAGGCCCCCAAGGCTTCCCCGATCCACTAAGATACCGCACGCTTCCCCCTCTCTTCCTGCCATGGCAGACTCACCTGGAAAAGATCCGTCTCCTCTCTGCTGCGGTTCCTGCTGCCACCCGGATCTAAGGCCAGGGAAGACTTCGGCGACCCAATCTGGGCTCTGGAGGCCTTTTCCAGGATGCTGCCGCCTGGATCTGAGGCCGTCGAACACTTCCGCAACCCGCCACGGCCAAATCCGGATTCCAGAGGCCTTTTCCAGGCCGCTGCTGCCCAGATTTGAGGCTGGGGAATGCTTCAGCACCCCCTCTGCGGCCCAATCCAGGCTCCAGAGACCTTTTCCAGGCTGCTGCCACCCGGATTTGAGGCCGATGAACGCTTCCATGCCTCTCCATGGCTGGATCCAGACTCCAGAGGCCTTTTCCAGGCCACTGCCGCCTGGATTTGAGGCCAGGGAATGCTTCCGCATCCTCCCCACCGGCCCGATCCGGGCTTCGGAGACCTTTTCCAGGCCACTGCCGCCCAAATCTAAGGCTGTGGAATGCTTCTGTGCCCCCCCTCCCCCCGGAGGCCCGATCTGGGCTCCAGAAGATTTTTCTGAATAACTATTCATGTTATTTTCAAATTAATAACTCCTGTTTTTTTGATTGGATATAGTTAATTACAGCATTCTGCCCACTTGTGACAATTATTCTGAGTTATTTTTCTCAGAATATTTAACAAGTAAAGCCTCTCTTGCTTTGTTAATTATGATCTGGATAACATAGGCTAATAGGATCTGAAACTACTAGTTGCTCTGTGGGACAAAGCCCTGAAGAGAAAGGAACGAGACCTTCTTAGATAAAAATTTCCCTTCTTGCCCTGTTGGGAGCCTCCTAAAAACCTGTTTGTTCTTCAGAAACAAACAAACAAATGAATGGCTTTGCCTTTCTAAGACAGTTAAATACTTCTTTGATCTGTTTCAGCTCTTTGATACTAAAAACTCAGAAATTTCCTTTCTTGATCCAAGTGTATTTTATATATATTTATATCACAGGTCCCAAAGAAGAAACAGAGGAGAAGGAAATTGGTGCCTCAGTCACTACAACTAAACCCAGCCGGAGTTGGCGTAGCAACAGGGCTACTACTACCGTTCAGCAATGCGATGCAGAGAATTCCCGGAGTTCCAGATCAAAGACTGGGTCCCTGCAACTCATTTGCAAATCAGAACCAAATACAGACCGGCTAGAATTTGGTATGGTGTTTTTTATTACTGGGAAATAAAACAATAGTATTCTCAATGAGTCTGTGTAAAACTTATAATAATTATAAAGTCACACATGTTCTATTGTGCCAAAAAGATTGTTAATAGAAAGATAATTTTGGTTAATCACATGCAACAGAATATATTCCAAAACTTTAAAAGCAAAATTATTCACTGAGCAATATATACATTATTTTACTATTATATTTGTCTTGAGCAACATTTTCCTCTATTTCAGGATTTTTCCAAGCCCGATCGGGCCATGGGGGGGCTGCAGCAGTGTCCCCCGGCCTCAGATCTGGGTGGCAGTATCGTGAAAATGGCCTCCGGAATCCAGATCGGGGTGCAGAAGCGTTCCCCGGCCTCACATTTGGGCAGCAGTGGCCTGGAAAAGGCCTCTGGAGCCCGAATCGGGGCGCGGAAGCATTCTTCAGCCCCAAATCTGGGTGGCAGCAGCCTAGAAAAGGCCTCCGGAGCGCGGATAGGGCCGCTGGGGGGGCATGGAAGTGTTCCCTGGCCTCAGACCAGGTTGCAGCGGCCTGGAAAAGGCCTCCGGAGCCCCGATCCAGCCTCCAGAGACATGTGGAAGCGTCCCCCAGCTTCAGTTCCGTTCTCTGTTGCAGAGAACAGAGGCCTAAAGTACCATGAGATCACACGAGATCAGTTGCGTGAGATCTCGCCCCGCTGATCTCGTGTGATCTTGCGTTACTTTAGGCCTCGATTCTCTTGAGAACGCGCCAAAGTCTGGAGCAGCCAAGAAAACGAAGGATTTTGATCTTCGCAGGGAGAGTATTGAAGGTCTGGTGCCTAGGGAGACCAATGGGAGGAAGGGAATAACCAGGGTGAATGTTGCAGAGCCACTGCTGTCGCTCTTAAGGGGAAACGACTGCTGTGGTGCTGCAATATTCATAACTTTGGGACTTGTTCATAAGCACCAGGGGGCGCTCATCACGTATCTTTGAACTAGCATTAAGTGAACGCTTGTAACTGAGGGATTACCTGTATAAGACATACTCAGATCTCAGAGCCTTTCTAACACCTTCACTTATAATATTGTAGCTTTCTTTTCTTTCTTTTTTCAACCCATTTTTTTTACCTGTTTCTTATGTAGCCATTCCATTGCCTTTCTGGTTAATATATTCATAATCCATTTATTTAAATAAAATATAAATAAATCATTACGGTATTCTAAAATAAAACTTAGAACTTCTATTGCCTTTAAGATAAGTTATATGCTGTATTCTTTTGTGGATGTGGGATGGAAGGATTGATCAGCATCTTCTTGGACTTGCTGGTTCTGCTAGCCCAGGGGTAGGCAACCTTGGCTCTTTTATGACTCGTGGACTTCAACTCCCAGAATTCCTGAGCCCGCATGGCTCAGCTTGGAAACCTCTCCCTTTCCCCCTCAGCGTGGCTGGCTCAGGAATTCTGGGAGTTGAAGTCCACGAGTCATAAAAGAGCCAAGGTTGCCTACCCCTGGGCTAGCCAGTTAGGATTTGAAATGAAATGCCGCTAAGTAGTTGATTTCAGGAAAACTTTAGCTTTGTATCCAGGTAGTCCTTGCTTAATGACCATTTGTTTAGAGACTGTTCAAAGTTACGACACTGAATAAAAGCAACTTACAATTAGCACTCGTACTTACTGTCACAGTATCACTGTGGTCATGTGATCGCAATCAGGTGCTTGGCAACCAGCTTACGTTTACAACAGTTGCAGTGTCCTGCAGTCATATGATTGCCATTTGCGATCTTCCCAGCCAGTTCCCAACAAGCAAAATCGATGAGCAAAATCAGGAGACACAAGTCACAGTCAAGTGAATTCTTTTATCTTAACCATAGGAAAAAAAGATCATAAAATCAGGTCCAGTCATTTAATTGCTGCACTGCTTAACAATGAATTTTCCAGCCCCTATTTGTAGTCATGTTGAAGACTACTTGTAAATACTTATTTGTAAAATACTAGTAACGAATGGGTGATCAGTAAATTGAAAGTCTTATTTCTCTGGAAAGCAAACATTCAGGAAACCAATATAGAAGTTAAACATATTTTATTTAAAAACAAAACTCCCTTTTTATGACCCTGTAATCCCTTAATTCGGGGTAGAGTTTGAGCGATTGGATGGAGCTGAGTGTTTACTGGCCGGATGCTCTTACTGACGCCATGCAGAGTTCGCAGAAGCTATTTTTTTCTTTGCACCCTAGGAGAGAAACATCTGCCCGTTACCTAGGATTCAACTCTCAACTTTCAAGTGGGAGGCAAGGGTCTTCACCACAAGGCCACCACGCTGCTCTCTTTATCTAAAAAAAAAAATTGAATAACAAACCAGAAGCTTTTCGTAGAGGTTTTTTTTTATTGTCTGCAGTAGTATTCAGAATCAATTTTTTATGATTTGTCTTTTGCATTACTGTTGTGTTGCATGCCTTCATTAGGGTGGGTAAAAATTTAGAAGTAATTATGAGCTTGAACTTTATTAGGTACAGGCAATTTGATACAATTGACAAAGTTGTATTAGAATGTTATGTCCAGTCCTGGTTATATTTAGGTAACAGAAAGAAGGTGTATAAAATAAATATTCATGTTATTTTCAAATTAATAACTCCTGTCTTTTTGATTAGATATAGTTAATTATAATATTCTGCCCAGTTGTGACAATTATTCTGAGTTATTTTTCTCAGAATATTTAACAAGTGAAGCCTCTCTTGTTTTGTTAATTATGATCTGTATAACATAGTCATAGGCTAATAGGATATGAAACTACTAGTTGCTCTGTGGGACAAAGCCCTGAAGAGAAAGGAACGAGACCTTCTTAGATAAAAATTTCCCTTCTTGCCCTGTTGGGAGTCTCCTAAAAACCTGCTTGTTCTTCAGAAACAAACAAACAAATGAATGGCTTTGCCTTTCTAAGGCAGTTAAATACTTCTTTGATCTGTTTCAGCTCTTTGATATTAAAAACTCAGAAATTTCCTTTCTTGATCCAAGTGTATTTTATATATATTTATATCACTGACGCAAAAGAAGAAACAGAGGAGAAGGAAGTTTCCACTACTGCGGCAGCTGATGCCTCAGTCACTACAACTAAACCCAGCCGGAGTTGGCGTAGCAACAGGGCTACTACTACCGTTCAGCAATGCGATGCAGAGAATTCCCGGAGTTCCAGATCAAAGACTGGGTCCCTGCAACTCATTTGCAAATCAGAACCAAATACAGACCGGCTAGAATTTGGTATGGTGTTTTTTTATTACTGGGAAATAAAACAATAGTATTCTCAATGAGTCTGTGTAAAACTTATAATAAATAAATATAAAGTCACACATGTTCTATTGTGCCAAAAAGATGGTTAATAGAAAGATAATTTTGGTTAATCATATGCAACAGAATATACTCCAAAACTTTAAAAGCAAAATTATTCACTGAGCAGTATATACATTATTTTATACGTATATAATATACACTATTATATTTGTCTTGAGCAACATTTTCCTCTATTTCAGTTTAGAGGCTTAACATACATCACTTTAACACAGTAGCATATCAATATGTGTTTGCATAAGTACTGATATGTAAGCTTATCAGATTTCTGCATCTAAATGTGTTTCTTTTTTAGAAGTTACTGAAGAGCCTTCATCTCCAACTAGAATCAGGTAAGCAATTATACAGTTGCTGGAAAATTAGTTAGGATACAAAATACCCTGGTTCATAAACAGTAGTTTTTAAACTATAAAGTTGTCCTTGAGTTGAACTTAATTCTTGGTGACTGATTGGTCACAACCATGGGGTTTTCTGGACAGTATTGCAGAAGTGCCTTAGGATTGCCATCTTCTAAGATGTTCTTTAACTTTTGAGTATAGTTTATAGTATTTAGTTCTCTACCCAAGTAGTAGTCAGGCCTGATTTCTGCTTAGCTTCCAAGTTCAGATGCCACCAGGTGCTAGGAGAATAGAAGTTCAGTGAAACTTTGTTTTGATCTTTTGATGGGAATGTGTGTCTGTGCCTAAATGATTATTAAATACAAAAGTATACCATTGCTGAAATTTAGAGAGTGTTACCATTATGCAGGTAATATAAAATTATATCATTTGTGGCAAAATGACTATATGGAGATTTTCAATCATCCAGGTCATGGTTGTCCCAAAGCTGTTTTTCCAAAAGACAACTGGACTTTGTTAGTTTTTTTTGTTTGAAAATGTTTTGCTTCTCATCCAAAAAGCATTGGAAAAAGTACCTTTAGGGTCATATGTGGCAATATTTGTCATATTGATGACATGCAAATTGTCACATGTAAATTTCATGAAATGCTTCATCCAAGATACTTTGCATTCAAGAACTTGTGTGTTATTTCTGGAGGCTGTCAGGATCATAATTTGCTCAGTTGCATTTGAGGAATGCTAAATGAGGTTCCATTAAATTGAGTCTTCACTTATATAATAAATATCTGTTAAAGTAGTGAATAGATTCATTGTTATGGGAAAGAACCTAGTTGCAGCATATACAGCCCAGGAGTTTATCTTGTTAAAATGATTTAAAATAGTAGTTTTATTTTTCTCTTGCCTCTGTCATCTTCAGAGGTGTGCTGTAGGCTGTATTCAATAACCAGGTAAACACTTCACTTCCTGATTTAGAGGAATGGTTGTTTTTAACTCCAGGATGTAGGGGGGTGTGTGTGTGTGTTTTGTAAACTTCAGTGACTACATATTTCCTGAATAAGGAAATCCCATGGAATGAACACATAATCAATGAATTCTCCTGCAAGACTATTGTAGAATCCTTATAGTGCAGTTTCATAGGAACTCTAGTGTCATATTTTCTCTAACATAAACTTGACTCTTTTGAAATTACAGAATTGTTGAACGTATGTCTGCTGTATCTGAGAAAGCTTATTCTCTGGAGTCTTTAGTGCTCTCTGAGCTTGGTTGTTTTCATGCAGTTCTTTCCTTGTCCGTCTGGGTAACGTCTTTGTTGCTAGGAGCGAGTGGCGTTTACAGCAGGGAGGACTCTACAGTTCAACCCTGAGCTGAATATATTCTCTTGTATTGAAATCTTATTCCATTATACCAGGATCTTATTTCTTTATACCTGTTGTGGGGAAAATGTCCAGAAAGATTCAGGTCTGTGTTCTAGTGACACTTGCACTATAACTGACCATAATAAGCTGATGTCTGTCTGTAGGTATATAAATGTTCTAAGCGGATGACAAGCTCAGTTGTGTTTTTTCTTCTGTGCCTTAAGTTATTGCCCAATATTTTAGGAATACAAAAAAGATGTCCTTACAGGCTAAAAAAATTGTTAGAAAGTAAGGTCTAAATGTTCTGCTTATATTTAGTAAATCATGTTGTTAAATTAATTGAGCTGTTTTCTAATATGATTCCTTATTGGATGAATATGTCCTTTTTAGCACATGTCCTGGAAGAGATCGGTTTGTATTAATCGAGGGCTGGATGTCTATATATTCATGGAAAAATGGTATTCAGTATTTTCCCTTTTCTTTCTCATTCTCAAGTGATGAAGAAGAAATGCTCATCAGTGAAGAAGAGGCTCCCTTCAAAGACGATCCCAGGGATGAAACTTACAAACCCCATTTAGAGAGGTGCTCTATTTTATTTTCAGTACAGAAAGCAATTGTATAGGCCACGGGTAGGCAACCTTGGCTCTTTTATGACTCGTGGACTTCAACTCCCAGAATTCCTGAGCCAGCATGACTCAGCTCGGAAACCTCTCCCTTTCCCCTCAGCATGGCTGGCTCAGGAATTCTGGGAGTTGAAGTCCACACGAGTCATAAAAGAGGCGAGGTTGCCTACCCCTGGTATAGTCACTTCAAAACAAGATGGGTAGCAAATAAATTTAATTAATTAATTATTGTCAGTCTAGCCTGTTGAAAAATAATAAACTATCTCATTGGTAGAACTCTTAGTATTCTGTTATGTTTCTGCTATTATGGGCAAATAGACTATTTTTAAATAATTAAGACCAGGACTATGCATATTTAAAATTGCAGTTATGACAAATACCAAAAAGAAATCCATGTTGAACTGTCTAAAAACTTCAGTATGACTTTTAACTAGAAAGTATTTATGTTCTTGGATACAGTATGTAATATATAATGGTTATCTGCAGAGATGCTCCAAAGCAAAGGAAAAAAACTGGGAAGGGAAAAGAAGAAAAAGAGAAACAGAAAGAGATTAAAGTGGAGGTGGAACTTAAAGAAGAAAGTGAGTTTCGAGAAGATGAGGATCCGCCTAGGAAGTGAGTATCTGAGTATTAGAGGCTGTGAATTAGCGTAGCCAGTCCTCTAATCCTCAGTAATACCAAGACTTAGAAAAAAAACCTAAAGGCCTGCCAATGCTTTAATTATAACTGGAATTCAGAAATAATTCTTACGTTTTTAACTTTATATAAAGTTTGTAATTAAGCAGTTTTGTAGATTTTCAGAGAGAGATTGATTCCCTGAAAACTGTGGTCCTATTATTTGTGGAGAGCATCCATTTGGGGTTTTAGGATCCAATCTGGGTCGGTCACCGTGAGCAAAGGTTTTATCTTTCGAGCTTTTGAACTCGTGCTGAAGACCATCCTCAGGGAATTTCCCTGTGTGCTTTGGGCTGTTCTCTGTGTGGTATTTATATGGTGCCTGTTGTGTGTAGCTTTATAGATGTAGATTGGGGTGTTGATGGCTGGCTATTAAGTCTTTGGCTATTGTTTCCTTGTGCTGTCAAGCCCTTGCCTCCTAAGTACTTGATAAGCTGGGAGTAAATCAACTAAGATTGTTGGACGAGCAGGCACAAAAACAGCCTGGGAAGTGATTGAAGCCTGGGGCTTCATTGAAGAGGGGCACATTTTCCAGGCTTCAATCACTTCCCAGGCTGTTTTTGTGCCTGCTCGTCCAACAATCTTAGTAGTTGCAAAATTGAAAATATGTCCTTGTTTATGCAGTGTGAGGCTACCAATAAGTTTGGGTCCCCTCTCATTCCATCCCATCATATAGGATACAGAATAATGAACGAGATATGGAGAGGCAGGTTGAATCGTAGTATTTTTTTTTCCAGATCTTTGTCACAGTAAGAGCAATTCAACAATGGAGCATACTAGTTCTGGATGTGTTGAGTTCTCTTTTACTATATATCTATTCAGATTGAGAGACTGTGCAGGGCAACCATTTATCAGGAATGCTCTATTCCTACATTGTTCTGGGGATGGTTCTTGCTGGGCAAAATACCCTTCAGTTCTGTTGTTTTATGACAAGATGGGAGAAATTTATGTAATAATATATGAGATTGGCTAGGGAGCCAAGCTGTTCTGCATTGTAGAGATATTGTACTGCTACAATTAATCTCCAGCATGTAGGGAGTGATATACCTGGTTGCTTGAGAATTAGATACATTAAAACAGGTTCTATGCACATTAAATAAATGGTACATATTTACGGAACTAAGATGGTTTGTGTAGAAACTAGTTTCGTATTCTTGCATTTTCTTTAGTGGTGGATTTTGGTATATTTGTGTATTGTATAACTTAAGAATTCAATTAAACATCTGCAGTTATGCTTTCATTTTCACGTTTCACTTTGTCGTGATGTTTCAGGAGAGGAAGGCGGAGAAAAGATGACAAAAGTCCACGACTTCCTAAAAGAAGGTAAGTTGTTTTTGTATTGCTTAAAAAGGTAATCTAGTACAAGTCCAGTTATCTAATTAATAATTATTTAATAATATATTCATCTTTAAAGGGCCTTCTCTTGCTTTTTCTTAGTTTTGTGTGGAAGTAATGCGATAGCAAATAGATGTTAGATGCCTAGTTCATCAGCTAATTGCAAAAGAGCCATACCTTGGGTGATACCTTCCTAAACTGCATTGCAAGCCTGCATCTACAGATCTTTCAGTGTTATGAATATATTATATTTTCAGGAATTATTAAATTCAGTCTTCCTATGTATTTGTTAGACATGATCATCTAGGAAAAAAAGCTAGAAACTATACAATTTATTACACCTATAACTGAATTCATAGCATCAAAACTGTGTTGAATAAGTCACAAAAACATAGCAAATTCCATAAAGTTGATAGCAAGCCAACAATTTAAAGGGATAATTTTCACAACTTGTTGTTCCCAAGAACTATATTAAGCTCTGTTTGACAATTTAATCTTCTAAAGAAAGGGCTGAAAAATTGTGTGGAACAAAGCATAAGCAGAATACAACATTCTTTCTTCCAGTGGATTTTAAAGACTGTATTTATTTTAAATTATTTGTATTTAACATGTATTATATATTAATGAAGAAATTAAACCATTTAATGTGGTTTTTAACACTGCTGAGCTCTCGCAATACGCAAAATTATTATTAGAAAGGATACTGTGTTACAGGCAGTTCTTGCATAATGACCAGTCACTTAGTGACAGTTTAAAGTTATAATAGACCCTCCAAAAGCTACTTATGACTCAGTTCTGGAGTTGTGATGGCTACACATTCCCCCCCCCCCATGGTCACATGACTACCTTTTAGGCATATGGCAACTGGCTCACTTATAGTTGCAAATTGAGAACTACCTGTATATAATATTTGTCAAAGTTGTGCTGTTTTCTCTTTATTGCTCATCTGTGTGCATTTTAGGAAGAAGCCTCCAATACAATATGTACGTTGTGAAATGGAAGGATGTGGCACAGTTCTTGCACACCCTCGCTACCTACAGGTAAGAATAATATTTACAAGCAAAGGAAGGAAAAAGAGATGCCCTTCTTTATTCTCTATAAATTTCTTTTTCTGTTTTGTGGACTAGCCTAAAAAACATTGCAACAATTCTCTGATGCTCCAAATTCTAAACGCCCCAAATCCCAAATGCTTGTTTCATACCAGGGCACGACTTAACTTTTCAACCCTGTTCATGATTCTTTCTCCTAAAATGCTAAATTGTAACTTATTTATTCTGGCTACCGTTCAAGGTTGATTCAGCCTTCCATCCTTCTGAGGTTGGTAAAAATGAGGGCCCAAATTGTTGGGGCAAGATGCTGACTCTGTAAATTGTCCAGAAAGGGCTGTAAAACACTGCAAAACTGTATATATGTCTTAAGTGCTATTGCTACTTTTTTCATAACCTTTCACCTCTTCTTTTTCCCGCTCTGCTATTACATTTCATTAATTTTATTATCAAATCCCACGTTACACTAACCAGGATTCCTTGATCTTGTCCTGGTTTGACATTAGTCGTACCCAAACCTTCCATTATCCACCCTATTCATCACATGAACTATTCATTTTTCTTTATCTTTTTTTCTTTAGCATTTGAATATGCCATTTCTTTTGCAATTATTAATGTATCTTCCTCTGAGTTCTAGACTATTGGAAAGTACCTTTTATTCTCATAGTTTCAATATTCTCACATCTAAATCTTATTGCGGAGTCTAGATTCAAAAAATTTCACAAAGATGAGAAAGACCTTCATTGTTAGATTTTT